TGCCATAATATATATATATATATATATATATATATATATTTCAAATTTACTCATTCAAACAAAACAAATATATTTAGTTTTTGTCAGTATTAGGTTAACATTGTGGAATGTGATTAATTAGTTGAACATCATCAATGGGTGGTGGAATTGCAGATCCAGAGGCATGTTGATTTAAATTTAAAACAAAGATATTATCTAACATTTGACAGTTTTTTTTTTCTTAATTTTGAGTTTGTGATGGTAAATATCTTTGTTTAAATGTCCTTATAACCTCTCTGAAGATGGCTGAATTTATAAACTATGTTGGTTAGATCAAACAACAGCTTAATAAAAAAAAAAAGAATCAAATGTTGGTCAATTTTTGTCTTTATTTTCATCAGAATTTAAAGCAAATATATGAATTTAGAAATTTCAAGATTTTTGATAGGATAGACATTGATTGTTGTTATATTTAAGAATATATGTTTAAAAATGATTTGCCCTAATATTTATATATATATTTATATATATATAAATGAATTTGAATTCAACACTTAGAGGAGATTAGTATGTTTGAGATTATGCAGAAGTCAGATTATGTACTGTTTGATTTTTATTGCTATTTTATACATATATGCATCTTATTTGTTCATTGTGGGTAGTTTATTTGGCGGTTATTTTACGGAAGTCTGTTTATTTAAAAATTTGTAAAAAATCTGTTTTATTGGATAGTTTTGTTTGGCACAAGAATTTCTTTAAATTGTTATTTGTAGTAATTTGGGGTTGGTTCTTGTAGTTTTATTCTAACTATTATTTATGCAGAAACAGTTTTTTAATTTGTGTTTATTTAATTGATTATCTTTTATTTGTTTTTTTCTATCGTAACTTTATCAGGATTGGTTAGTTTAAAATTTACTTGGATCAATTTAGGTCAATTTATTTTTCGTTCAATATTTTGTCATTTAAACTTTCAATTTTAAAAAAAATAGTATAAATTAATTTGTTTTTATTTTATTTTATTTATTTAATTTTTTTTTTGAATATATATATATATATAGTTAAAATATTTTTTGGTTTGATTTTTTACTAAATAAATTTTGCTTGCTTTTTGTAGGGTACTTGATTCATAAAGACTGACCCTTGAATACAGAGTAGAGAAAATATGATTTTTTTTTTTAACATAAATATGCTAAAATGTACAACAAAAACCTCCATTTTGAGCTATACTAGTGGGCCTAGAAGTATTCAAATAAAACAGTACTTTTTATCATCCTGAACATATTTTATAGCAAAAAATAGTTTATTATTTTTTTGCACAAAATTATATATAAAAAATATATATATAAAAATTAAATGAAATATATGATAAATTTTTAGATATTAATTTTGTTTTAATTTGCCTATTGAGCACTATTTTTTAAAAATGGCCAAAAATATCTATAATAATCCTAATTTTATTTTCTTTTTCTCTACATGAAGAACAAAACATAATTATATATATATATAAATGAACAAATACCTTATATAAATGGAGAATTAATAATTTGTCTCACATGGGTTTACCTCTCCAATAACAACCTTTTTTGTCAGGATTACAGGCACACAATGCAGGGTGTCCTATACATTCAGGTACATCTATCTCTGATAGGATAATTTTATTCCCATAAAAAAGCACATCTTAGACATATATTTTTTTTTATATATATAAATGAATATTTAAAATGCATTAATTTTAACCTCTCCAGAAAAAGTTTACCTTTTGTATAGTGCAACTGGTTCTCAAAAATACATGATTGAAAAGAAATTACCTGCGTATAGTGTGGCCTATTTGTTTGCATAAAAAAAAAAAAATGACCATGAAAATATCTGATATAAACAGTTTTTAGATAACGACCTTTTGTTTTCATTTATTGAAAAAAAGATAGTTCTTTTTGCCCAAAAAGGTAGCCGACATGGTTGAGGGTGCCTGAAAGGTGGCCAACATGGTTGAGGGGGCCTGAAAGGTGGCCGACATGGTTGAGGGGGCCTGAAAGGTGGCTGACATAGTCAAAGGTACTTGAACAAAACAATGGCACAATTTGAACTTAGGACAGTTTATCTGCAATTTTAAGTACAATAGTTTTTGGGGTTTTTTTTTAAACTGTGAAAGTATCAATGAATTTTGGTTTAATATCAGGGAAATCAAAAAATTTTCGAATGCAACCTGTCAACAAATGCCATATTTATTTATTTTTTTTTTTTTTTTTAAATTAAAAATTGTTAGAAAATAAATGTTACTGACGTGATTTATTCTGGTATAGACCAGGGGTTGGCAACCTCCAACATGTCTGCCACATGTGGCACACCAAGCAATTTCCAGTGGCATGCAGCTGCAAATGACATCACCAAGTCCAAACCAAAAGTATATTTACTACAGTGTAACCCGAATATAAGGGAGATTTTCTCTGGTCCCAAATTAGAGCCCATACTTACCTAAACAAAATAGACCAAACCCGGATATAAGAGACTTTTTCTCCGGTCCTGACAACTCTCTTATATCTGGGTTACACTGTATATATTACTATATAAAATATATTGTAGCACAGGTTAGGGTTTGACCTTGACTTGTATAAAAAATATGTATGCTATTGGTACACTGAATAATTTTAAAACCCTAAATCAGCACATAGCAAAAGGTTGCTGACCCCTGGTCTACGGTATTAATATTTTATAGGAGTTGATGTTGACTGCAATTTGTTTGTCAGTAGACTTGATAATTTAAAAGTTTGATAAGTTACAGTGATACAGTATACAGTACTTACTGGTGTGTGTTGTAGGTTGATTGCAATACAACACATATAGAAAGATTAAGAGTATCAATATATATATATATATCCACAAATGACATCACAAGCCAATAACTACTGCATGCAAAGAAGATATTTAGCTGTTTCAATTTTAATATATACTAAAGCATATATACTATATATTACTATATAAAATATATTGTAGAACAGGTATATATTGACCTTGACAGGTATAAAAAATACTTGGCACACTGAATGATTTGAAAACTCTAAGTTGGCATATAATTAGCAAAAGGTTGCCGACCCCTAGTATAAGATGAATTTGAGAGAGAATGAACTTTCAAGGGAGACAATCGTCAAAAAGGGAAGTAACTCCTGTTGGTCAATTTAACATATATCGTAATCATTTTTGTATAGAATACTGGGAAATATAAGACACAGATAAAAGAGAAATTCCAACAAAAAAAAATCTTTGCACCTGTTTGTTTGGGTTTTATGGCATATCAACCACTGTGGGTTATTTAATGCCAAATCCAGTTGATATATATATATATATATGCCAAATATATGAATTTTAAATGCCTATTTTGTATGGAACATTTTTAGCAAGCTAGAGCTTATTTGCTTGCACACTGCAAAATAATCAGAGGTATTTAAGTCAAGAATTTCCATTTGATAAGGACAATTTATTTACAAAATGGTAAAAGGTAGGATATGTTGTTTATACATGTTTGATAAGAGACCAATTCTTTTTAGAAAATCCAATATATTTTTTGGTTCAGTTTTTGCAAATAATTTCTTCATGTTCTTCGTGTTATAGAAATTTCTACGCATGTGTGTGAGGTTTGTACATTCTATTAGTATATGTTTTACAGTGTATTGTTTTCCACAGGAACATTTAGGAGGAGGTTCTTGTTTTAATACGAAAGAGTGAGTCAGTCTTGTGTGTCCAATGCATAGTCAACCAATGGTGGTTTGTTCTTTTCTTATTTTAAGATTCAGTTGCCTTTCCTTTAGAATTGGTGCTATTTGGTAGAATTTATTTGGTAGAATTTATTGTTGGTATTTTTGTCCCATTGTTGTTGCCATATTTGTGAAGAAAATGTCTAAAATTTGTGAAAAAGGAAGAGAGAAAAAACGACAGTTTTCATTTTTTTTTTTTTTTTTTTTTTTTTTTTTTGCATGAAAATCTGAGAAATTTCTTTCCAAATTCTTTGTGTAAGAAGATTATTTCAAAGAAGGGATCCAGGTCATTAATTGCCTTTCATTAAAAAAAAAAAATGTCTTTGATGATTTATGTTTTCAAATTATGCATCATTTTACTTTTTTTTTTTTTTTTTCTTATCCTAAATTAAATACTTTTAACTGTTGAATGATTTCCGTGCTTGTGTAGGCATTTTGACTCAACAAAATCTGGGAAATGTACGGAATTATACGAACTTTAGGGAAACATTATGAAATATTTATTACTCAATCTGCCATTAGAAAGATATCTCTCCACTAAATAAATAAATCCAATTTGACCAGATTTTGTACATCTTGAATCCTGGAAAAAAAATGGGATTGATTTTTAAACTCAAGTATTAGATGCAGCAGACATTTGGACACAATTTTGGATGAAATAATAAAAAAAAAAAACACCCAAAAACCTGTGTCCTATACGCAAGATTATTGTAGTTGTTTTCTAGGATGAGTAAAATTTGAATAAAAATGACTACTTATGCCTATGCAAATGTTTGTTTTATTTATATATATATATATATATATATATATATATATAGTGAAATTTCCCAGAAATAATTCTGAAAACAAAAACAAATTGGTTTAAAAATGACAATTGGAAAACATTCATAGTTCTTGACGACGTGTTTCATCTTCCGACTTTATCAAGGCAAGCAATGAAAATGAAATGTTTTCTAGCCATAGTTACATGAAATATATTTTTTGTTTTTTCTTCTCTTTATTTTTTACTGTCTCTCTTTTTCTCTCTGTCGCTGTCTCTTTTTTCTTCTGTCTCTTTTTTTCTCTCTCTCTCTCTTTTTTCTATCTCTCTCTCTCTTTTTCTCTCTCTCTTTTTCTCTCTCTCTTTCTCTTTCTCCCTCTCTTTTTCCTCTCTCTCTCATGTCTCTACTTTTTTCCTTATCTCCCCCCACTCTTTTTTTGTCTCTCTTTTTTTTCTTCTTTGTCTTTTGTTTTTTCCCATGACTCAATCTTTCTTTTCTTCTCTTTTTTCAGCGGACATAATATGGAGTATGAGTGATCCATTTTGTAAGTATCTTCCTTCCATGCACCTTATCTTATATATTTAATAAACCTTAAATTTGGGTGGGGGGGGGGTTAGTTTGACCCTCTGAACTTCAAGGGTTGATCAAGAGTCTTATCTGGTCATTGACGTTAATGGTGTAGTGACTTTAGTTAACTGAAGACCTGTCATAAAATCGCTTTCATATCAAGGACTTGCAGTACTTTCGCTAATTTTATATCTCGCGTATGATGTGACCCCCCCCTTAAAATTAGCTTCAAAATTTGCTCTTCAAAAGTCACATGATACATGAGTATATACAGTAATTAAAATTTCTATTGGACATAAAGTGGGTGATCGGTTTTCTATTTTTATGAAATAATAAACTGATCGCCCAAGGATTACTACATAATAACTGGAAACAATTAGTTTCTAATGGACACAAAATGAGGGGTCGGTTTTCTATTGTTACAAAGTAATAAACTGATCCCCCAATAATTACTACATGTTATTATAATTGGAAACATATCGTATATACTTGTGTAACAGGCGATGTTTATTTTAAACTTTTTGACTACAGTAAATGGATATATAGTTTGGCCAGTGGTGTAGTCAGGGCCAGCAGTACAGACACTAATTTTATATCGTGTCTATGATGCGACCCCCCCATCCAAATTAAAATTTCCATTGCACATAAAATGGGGGACCAGTTTTCTAACGTTATGAAGTAATCACCCTAGAATTTCTACATAATAACTGGAAACAATTAGTTTCTATTGGATCGTTTTGTGTTCATTTTGTTTAGTTCTTTTTTCGTAACAGATTTAATGTTTAGTATAGAGCTTAGAAAAAATTCGCAGTGTGAGATAGGCAAGAAGTAAGGCATGTAGCAACATCAGCAAGGCAAAGGGCACTCCTTTAAAGTCAAGGAAGGGCAAAAATATTTTAAGTCAAGTGATAGCAATTGCTGTATGAGTTGTACGATTTTTGAATCAAGCATGGGCAACGCCAGGCCATGCTGCTAGCATATATATATATATATATATATATATATATATATATATATATATATATATATATATATATATATAGGGTAAGTCAAAAATTATCTGCACTTTTGCTATAACATAACTTTAGGTTTGTTACACTGTAAAAGAAAAAATGCAATGAAACTAAAACATTTGAATTGAAAAACTTTTAATTGCTTTTATGAATAAGATAATGTCTTTTTTAAAAAAAACAACTTTATATTAGATGAATAATGAATTTTTACAAGATTTGCTTACATTTTTTAAATTTTAATTAAGACTTGATTGTAGCAACAGATTAAGTAAGTGATTCAATATAATTTTACATTTATTTAGCTTCTGACTTTCAAAATCAAGCCAAATTCGTTACACTCCCACACAGATATCCATGGCAAAGTTATGAGTCCATCTCTTTTCATCAACTGATCACCAATGAGTAGATTCAACAAGCTCAAGAGATAGTAATGGCGAACCGGCTAATTATCATTGATGAAGTAGCATTTTTGGATCACTGCTCTCTGTTCCTCCTTCGTGAGCACTGCTATCGAAGAGGCCATGTTTAAAAGCAGAACTTCTTGTAGAATTTAAATCATTTTCTTTTAATTTTTTATTCATTTATTTACTTATTTTATTTTTTATTTTTTTTGTAAAACAAGACCTACAGTTACTAGTTGGTTTGGTTTGTTTTACAGTATATCAACCTCAAACTTAATGCCGACAAGATTTTTATTGCTGCTAATAATGTAATAATAAAAGGTTATAAAATGTAATAATAAAAGGTTATAAAAAAGATCAATTTTTTATTCTGTTTCAATGTTGTCTGCAATTTTAAGTTTCATTTTATTTCTTTAAAGAGAAATAAAAATTTCACATAAAACAAAGATTACAAAACATTATTTAATGATTAAGAAGAAAAAAGAAATTCAACCTGAAAGATTTTTCGGTAAAAAATGACGATATTTCGCCAAATAAAAAACGAAATAATGTTTTGCCATACCTTTTTTTGTCTCAGCAAACTTTTTTCTTGTCGACTTTTTCTCGGACTGCCAACCTGACCCTTTTTTCTTCTGTAATCTTCAACAATCTTTGGTTATTTTCGATAATCTCTGCTGACATTTGCTCTGTGAGATGTGGTTTAGTTTGGTTTGTTTTACGGCATATCAACACCTCAATGGGTTATTTTAATGCCAACAAAGTTTTTATTCCTGGTAATATTTTTTTTAAAAAATGTATTGCTGGTATTAAAACCTATTTTTATACTTTTGCTTTGATCCTAGTTTTGGGGTTAACTATTTGTCCATAGATGGGACCCTAACAGGTGCTACCACCCTGCGTCAGGGTGGCCCTGGGAACACCAGATATTAAGAGGTGGCTTCACATGCCTAAAAACCTCCTGATCAGTGGCCTTGCTGTCAGATGTAGTTTATCATCTTACCCAGGATGTGGATGTATTTTATCATCTTACCCAGGACAGTCGTCTGTCAGTGCACAACCTGATGACATCGAATTGATTCAATATAATCTTTCCACTTCATGTCTGCGGAGAGGCAACAAGAAATCATTCTTCTGAGGGTTAGCATCAGCCATGCGGGTGGAAGGCATACAAGGTTCTCTCAGACGATTAAGAGAGAACGGTTTACTTTTGGCAGTGTTAAGATAGAGAAACCATTTATTGGCCCAATCGACAACAGATTGTAGGTCATTTGGGGTGGGGGACTTAATTGATCCTATCGAACTGATGAGACATATTATTAAGAAAGAGTAAGTAGTTGTGTCTTCAGCATAGATACTGACAGTAGAAGACTGATTCAATACAATCATACATTTATTTAACTTCCGACTTTCGGATTCAAGCCAAATTTGTTACACTCCCTTCCACACAGCCATGGCAAAAGTATGAGTCCCACTCTTTTCATCAACCTCCACCACTAATGAGTAGATTCAGCAAGCTAGAGAAATGGTAATGGTGAACTGGCTATTTATCATCGATGAGGTAGCATTTTCTCTGCAGATTTGGATCACTGGTCTTTGTTCCTCCTTGCTGCGCACACTGCTAGTGAAGCGGACATTTTCACACTGTAACAGTAGCAAGAAAACTTATGCGATCCTCAAACTTCTATCACGTGATTACAAGAATACCAATGATGAGCATGCATGAGCAAAAGGCAGTGTCACAAATGGAAAGATATATTATCACAAACATGCGGGTAATTTTTGACTTACCTTCGTAATTTTTCTCTTTTTATATATGGTTTTTTTTTTCTCATATCTTTTTTTCTTGTCATCTTTCTATCTTGCCTTCTTTTCTTTTTCTTGCCTTCTTTTCTTTTTCTTGCCTTCTTTTCTTTTTCTTGCTTTCTTTTTGTTTTCTTGCTTTCTTTTTGTTTTCTTGCCTTTTTTTTCTTGCCTTTTCTTTTCTTGCCTTTTTTTTTTTTGCCTTTTTTTCTTGCCTTTTTTTCTTGCCTTTTATTTTTCTTGCCTTTTTTTGTCTTTTTTTCTCATGTCTTTTTTTTTTTCTTCTCCCGATAGATTATCTACACGATGATGTTATAAGAGTCCCTGACCTCTCCGACGATGACTTCTCAATATGAGATAACTGGAAATAATGCATCAAAAGGGAGGCTAAGAAGTTCCCCGCCTCTTCTCCAACACTGTAGATGGGTGGGGGGATGCATTTCTTTTTTTTTTTCTGATATGAGAGAGAGAAAAAAAAATGTTCTCTTTCTTGAGGAGAGGAGAGAGCCATGACTCCTCATAATAATGCATATTTTTTTATTAATAAAATTTTATCCATTTTCTCTCTTTTGTCTTTCTGTTGCTTACTTTCAGTAAGGATTTCTATAGGTACCTCCAAAAATCCGTATACCTAAGGTTTAAGTGTATTTTTCATAAAGGAAAAATCATTTTCAAAGCTTTCCAACCACTTCAATCGAAAGCTAAAGGATTAAATTTTCTAATTCCAGAAAAAAACATACTGTGGATTATTTCAAATAGATAATTGAATGATTTTTAGTTGATGCTTCCAAAAAACCAATTGAAACTGCCATTTTTATCTTTTTTTTTTTTTTTTTTTTTTTTAGGGAAATGTAAACAAACTTATTTTTCAGTTTTGAAAACCCTGCTAAAATAAGATATATACATGTCTGAAATGTTACTTTCATAAAATTAGCAAATTTAAAGTTAAATTAATCTGTTCTGAAACAAAAATCACTTATTTATAACATAAAATTTTCTAGACAAACATTTCTTGACCTGGGGTCTTGTTATTTTCATGTCTCCATCGATAATTTGATGGCTGAATGTGTTGACAGGTTTAGTATGTTTAGTGACATAACATTTTTTTTTTGTTTCTTATAATAATTTAAAATATAAAAATTTCTTACATTATTGAGTTACCTCTATCTCTTTCATTATTTAATAGCTAAGGTAATGATGACTAATTTTATTAATTATTAATATTACATTAAGTTATTACATTTTTAATTTAATAACTGAGATAATAACTAATAAAATTATTATTATATTATTAATTAAAATATCTCACTGAGTTATTAATTGTTTAACTTGATAAATGAGATAATTTTATCATCTCAATTTAATTTTTAATTTAATAATTGAGAGTGAGATAAGACCTTTACATGTCAAGGGGCTTTCCCCAAGGAGGAGACAAGCTTTGAAACACGTGACCTTTTAACCATAATGTCACTTATGAGATATCATACTAAAAAAAAATCTAACATTTTGATGCACAAAAAAAAAAAAATTTTAATTATGGTAAAAAGTTTTGGTAGCATTATTTGTATTAAGCTTTTAATTTCTGCTTTGTAATAATAGTCTTCAGTTAAAAACTTAATAACTGACCCCATACTCAGCTTGGAAGAATTTTTAAAATTAAAGAAAAATGCAAACAATTCTTGTAGAAATTCTTTATTCATCAAAAAAAAAATTTTTTCTTCAGATAATGTCCTTAATGTATATTATTTATAAAAGCAAATAAAAGCTTATCTAATTAGATAATTAGATAGTTTATTGCAGTTTTTATTTTACAATTTGGTGCAGAATTTTAAAAAGTTGGCAGTAGTTGTGAAAAAAAAAATGTTGATGATTAAATTTCTCCAAGGAGTCCTGCTTATAAGTAATATAAAACAATTGGAAATTCTAGAAAATTTCATAATATTAATCTATCTGTGAGTAACAGATATTAAAAAAAAGTTTCAAAAATAAATTCGTTCATTTTTGAACAAGTCCTGAAAGTTTCATTAAAATCAGACAATTTGATTTTTGCAAGAATTTCCAAGTTAATGGGTTTTTTGCCTGGAAACTGCTACACTAAAATGGCCATTATCACAAGTATTACAAAGTTAAAAAAAAACAAGATTTTTTACCCAAATTTAAAACGTGTTAGAAAGAAGAAAAACATTTAAAAAATACTTTGTTTTTTTTTTCCTCTTAATAATAACATAAACATTTTAATGATGAAACTTTGTTTTTATTAAGTTTCGGACCTTTTATCATTATGATATACTAATTTTTTAGTGAATTATTGGCGGTACCTAGATATCTAGGATATAGCATTTATCATTATTTACACTCGGTCTAACATCATCCTCACTTGTACGCTTATTATTACAGTGTTTCAACCGTTGGGCTTTCCAGCCTTCTTCAGGTAACCTTCAGAGAATTTCCACCTGAACCCATTATTAGGGGTAAATTAAATAACAGTTGTCTTGGGATACCTTGTCTAGTTTTTTTTTTTTTTTAATTTAGTATTGCTCAGTTATTGCATTCCCAGTTTCCACCAGTGTAGCAGATTAAAGATTTGGTGATATAGTAATTGTGAATTCAATCCCTGAACAGGGCAGTACAGACTTAGATTTGGTGGTGACAGGGCAAGCAATAGCTGACCAGTGCTAAACAAAAGTGAGACAAAGTTTTCTAGACTTGACAGGGGGATGAAAACTGCTATTAAGTAAAGAGTTCAATTTAAAATTCCGGAAGAAAGCCAGACGTCACAACAGCCGAAGTATTGTGATAACAAGGAGAAAAGTACATGTGAAAATTTTTTTTTTTTTTGTAATAAACCCGTAAAAAGCTTTTGTGTGAGAAGTGAATCAAGGTGGGGTTGGAAGACGTATGGCCTACGATCTTGCGGTTGCCTACTTTATAGGGTTATAGCTCTCCACAACTTCCTACCTGTAACTGTAAGTGGTGTTTGTCTGTCTCTACTATCCCTTCCATTTCCTGTTCTGCCATCCATTTACACAAACTTGTTAGGTAGGTTGATCATGGCTCTTCACAACTTCCTATCTGCAAATGTAAGCGGTGTTTGTCTGTCTCTACTATCCCTTCCATTTCCTGTTCTGCCATCCATTTACACAAACTTGTTAGGTAAATGGCTCTTCTTGTTATCTGGTAGGTTCTGCCATCCATTTACACAAACTTGTTAGGTAGGTTGATCATGGCTCTCCACAACTTCCTATGGAATCATGTTTCTGTATGTGACTATATTGAGAAGTTTTATTGGTCAAATTGTTCATTTCTGGCAGATCTAATATCACAGTGTGGAATAGCTACTTTCAAAAGTGATAAAAAAGACTAAACGAATTTAGCTGATTTTTAAAAAAATATATATAATATATAATTTTAAATGGAATCCTGTTTCTGTATGTAACAATATATTATTAAGAAATTTTATTGGTCTAATTATGGAAGATGATAATCATGCAAATTTTCACTGGTTGCTATTTCACAAGTGTACGTTTTCTGCCAATTGTTGCCTGACTTTTGGAACATAAAGTATTGTTTGTTCAGGTGCAGTAGAAGGAAACCTCGACATATGACAGTGTTTGTGCAAACGGGTCACTTTGGCATAATTTGAAGAAATATGAAACATGCCACAAGACTCCCTCTTGCCTCACATTGCAGTAAAAATATTAAACTATACTAAGAGAATAGATATATTAAGCAATTTGGTTTAAACTAAATTTTTAATTTCTTCTCCTTGACAAACAAAACATTGCTTTAATCCTAAGAAAGAAAAGGCTCGACATTGTTTAACTTCGTGTTTTGCCATAGGAATCGATTTTTCTTCTTTTTTTTTTTTTTAAAAAAATGACTAATCAAGCCTTTGCAGGTTATTTAAAGCCAGAAAATATATTTAGATCGTTAGAATATTTTTTTAAAGATCATAATGATATAGTGATGCAAGTCTTAATTAACCCATAGCTGGAGGGGTGAAGAAGAGCTTTCTCAATAATATTTGCACATAAGTGAATATAACGAGTATTGGAACTCCATTATCAAATTGCAAGCCACTATCTATTACACTTCCTATACACCCAAGCTTAAACCACCTGGTATTCACAAGCAGTCAGATACTGAACAGGCTCGACATTGCTTAACTTCAAAAACTGTATGAGAACTGATGTTTCAACATGATGTCGCTGTAAGTCCTATCTATTGGTGACTTTAAACATTGCTTTAATCCTAAGAAAGAAAATGGTGAGTATACAGAAAGACGTCACCTGAACGTTTAGTGCTAAAATAAGTCTATAGTATAACTAGACCCCCACTTCTCTGCTTATAAAAAAAGCTGAGAAATTTCCGAGAAGTGATTTGTAGACTGCTCCCAAAGAGTTCCAAACTCCTTTCTTTCAGTAAAGGATTTAATATCTGATGTGAATAAAGGATGGGTACGGCATTTCCCCCCTCTTTGCTTAGCGCTATTTTGATTTGTGGGGTGGGAGGGGGGTGTCACTAAGTCCTAACTGACCACTGCAGCAGGCATGGAACTTTAATTCTTCCCAAAGCGCCCCTTAACTTACACCTGCCTGTCTTCCTAGGTCCTTCCTCAAATCACTTGACTCGAATAGAGAAAACAAGAGTTAAACAAGGATCCATCCAAATGATTCGTATTTATAGGTTTTTAAATCCAGGAAGCAGGAAGAATCTCCGAAGAAAACAGTGACACCCGTGAATTATCCTGTTCCTTAAAATTTTTTGGCCGAAGAACTCCAGCGTTATCCTGAATATGGTAGTAGTAGTAGTAGTAGTAGTAGTAGTAGTAGTACAAGTAGAAGAAAGTAGTGCCAAAGCTTTAAATCCATTTCAAATATCGTATCCTTTCCTGTTTAAATTTTGGCTAAGAGAGGCCAATTTTGTATTTCTGATTTTCCTTTCCTTTTTCCACTTTTTTGCAAGAAAAACCGACCAAAGATTTGCTAAGTGCATTTGTTTGTTCTCCCTCCACCCAGGTCCTAGGATCCTGCTGCCAGAGACACTGGGTTCTAGTTTTCCAATTCCATCCTTTAAGCATTTAACCTTTAGAAGTAAATGAAAAAAAGGAAAAAGAAGTTAGCAATCGTCAGCTGGTAGAAAGACAGAGAAAGAAAGAAAGAAAGAAAGAAAGAGAGAGAGAGAGAGAGAGAGAGAGCACATTGGTATTTACTGACCAAAATCACAAACCCATGGCAGATTTTTTTCTCTCTTTTTTTTTTTTTTAAAAAAAAAAAAGAAAAAAAAAAAAAAAAAAACAAACAAATGGACATTTTTCAGCCCTCAAATATTTGATACCATCATGACAAGTGTAAGA